AGTAAATTATGCGCGAATTATTCGCCGTCTCGGTGACTTTACATACGAGCTTTCCTTGCGTTATTTATTGCGGCCCTTATCCATAATTATGGCCACTGAAGCGTAAGTGCCCAGCTGGTTATATATCGCGGGATTCTGTAGAAAAATACTGCAACTCGGTGATACATCGCCCTTAAAAATAAGAACAAAATTCTTTATACCCCTTATCTTCCTTGCCACACTTTAAAAACTCTTTAAAATTCTGACCACATCAAATTTCAAAAACTTTTCAGATAAACGTTTAGTTCGTCTCTGCTGCCGAAAAAAAATCCCCAGAGCGCGAAAGCGTTAAAATTCAGGTTTCCAGCGAGGCGGAATGCTGAAAAATCGCGACGCTTTAAAATCTGCGCTCGTTCGATAACGATTTTAAAACTGTTTTCCTCCGGATAAAGCTACGATTATACGCGAAGTTTTCCGCGGAACGAGCGTGAAAAATATTCAAGCGTCGAAAGCCCAGCCACCGTGGCGCTAAACGGCGCTCGGTGTCTGGTTTCCCAAAGAACCTCGTTCGAAATATTTCCCGAGAGACTTCCGTTCGGGGGCATTCACGGGCAGCCAGAAGTCCGGTTGATCGAGGATCGAGCGGCTGTCTCGATCGTTAGGTGCACGGTGCGCCGGCGACCACCGTTGCAGCTGGTATGTACAATTGCACGCCTCTGCTCCGCGGCAATGCCAATAAATAAAACGATATTATGACCGGCGGCAACTGGTTTGCAATGTTTTCACCGGTATCTAGTGCAAAGTACTTAAGAGGCACGCTGCAGGCTCGTATTATCCGGGTGCGACGCACGACGCGTCGACGATATTTCACGGCGTTCTCCGCCCGCCATTATTTTTCCCGCCGTTGCACATTGCATCGTACACGGCACCGAACAAATCTACTCGGATAAATCATTTTTACCCATTAATTCAAGCATTATATTCTATTAAGGCAATTAACCGAACAGGAATGACAATAATGATACACTAGACCTCTGTACAACGTTGTTAACACGGTACGTGTTACAGGAAATCGAGTTCTACGAGGATCCTCCTCGTACGATGCGAATTATATTAACGGGTAATACGGGGTCTTAGTTTTCTATTAGTTTTATATTATAAAAAGCATGGAATGTGCATCGTGGTTAATTTGCCCGGAAAAAATTCTTTTTCGGGGCTGTGAATTAAATTGGATCGTTAAGGTTCTCCGGAGGACTAAGGGTGCCGCATTAAGGTTGATTAACACTACCGGTGCAGTCACGGTATAATCACGGTACCTTCAAGTGGCATTCAACGCGATACAACGCCGGCACACGTTTCTGCGACCGAGGAACGATGAATAATATTTAATGAGACCGCGGTCAGTGTACACCGGATCCAAGGCTTGAATACGCTTAGGGAAATTAGACTCGCAAGTGCCGAGAGAAATGGCCGTCGTTGTGACTGGCACTATATCGCGAATCCTGGTGGCTGTGACAGAACCATGACTGCAGAGACAACGTACCGTAACCGTACCGTTACCGAACCGCTAGTGTAAATCAACCTTTAGTGGTGTCCGGGCTCCTCTGACCTTAATAAAACCAACTGCAACGGTGAAACTGATCGGCGAAACAGTTCACTGTGTAATCTTTCGCACCGTGATAAACCAATATGAAAAAACATGCGAATAACTCAATTTTCTCTAACCTCTGCTACGTTCTTTCATCCCCCTTTGATTCGAGCACGGCGCTTCTACAATGGAAATTTGCAAAAAGATATCTACATCAGTTTTCAAAGAATTAAAATGAAACGATCGTGAATGAACTTCCAAAGCGGTCGTTGCAAAGAGGAGGCTTTCAAAGTTAAACTTTTGGGAGTCGTTTGAATTTGAAATATTTTTCAAAGCAAAATCGTCTTCGCTTTCTCGCTCGCGTAAAAGGATCTTCGGGGAAATTCGACACGGGAATGTGAAAGTAGACGGTTCAGTTTTTGAAACGACTCCAGAAATAACGAAGTTACGATAGTCCAAATATTGCCATCGTTTAATAATAAAAGAAGACACGTAAGAAGCCAATACGGATCACAGATTATTTACTGTGCGTGCTGGAAAAGCACTTTTTCGTGTTAATTCTCGCAACGAAATGGACCAACGTCTCCGAGAGCCGCTCGATTCGCGCAAAGAGAAACACGAGAAGAATTTTCAGGAGCCTAAAAAATTCATCCGTCAAGTTTCCGGCAGGAAGTTCTGCGGGTAAATCGCATTGTTCCCGGAGTCGAGGAGCGAAACGGGGCACCCGGCGCGACGAGATCTCGCACAACGATAGCCCGGACAGCGAACTTGAAAAATTCATAAATCTTATCGTTAACATCTGGCCGTGACACATTCGAGCTCGTTCGTCTTAGCCGTCTAGCGTTCCTTTTATTTCTTTACGCCGCTCGTCGTTCCCTCTCTCGCATTTTTCCCCGGGACCAGCCGCGGATGTTACCTTTCTCCCGAGGAAAATGAGAGATCACAACCGAAAGGTTTACACGATCGAGACAGCAGGTGCGAAAACGACTCGCAGACACCGACTTTCCTTACGAAATTGATGTCTCAAAAATTTACGAAACAAAAAGTGGAACTCGAATAATCGTCCATGCGAAGGTCAATGGATTGGGCATTAAATCTACAACGAAATACGGTTGCCCGTCGTTATAATTTTATAATCGCGATCGTTAACGATAAATTTCAGTACCCGGCCGTGACATCTTCATAAAAGTTTATTGCAATTTTGTTTGTTCGTGCCCGCGCGAAGGATAGGCGATGCAGCAGCGAAAGCTGGCTATCTTCGTTGACCGTGTTCCGTCGAGTCCCACAAATCAGCCGGATACGTGTAACTCAACGCACGGCCGTGTACTTTACGGAAATAAACGGGATTTACAACCGTCGGGCTGTATCGCGCTTTATAAACTCACGGACTAAAAAGTTTCCATGGTCGGTCTGGGGTGGGAGGTACGGTCGATTTATTTTCGCGGGCAGCTTTTCGTCACGCCGTGCTCGAGAAGCGCGCGAATCAGAATAAAACGAAATCCCCAAGGTGTGCGTGTGACCGCGTGTGCGTGGCCCCGATGACATAACGCATCCGACCGCCACCACATGCTCCCTGGACCACTTTTTTTAAACGTCCGGTCGTAGAACGTAGCCCAAGTGCGAACGTTGCTCCTCTTCGAACGCGTTCGAGCAGAGTGATCGTTAAAAGCTAACAGTTAACCGGGCATTTTCTAAACGACGCGCAGCGTGACGGGATCGCCGATATAACTGGACAAGAGTAAATTTAACGACCGTAGGTTTATTAGTATTTTTCTTAATTAATTCCCCCTTTAAAGAAACTAAGATTGCGGAATTGAAAATTAGGAACGAGAAAAAGTCAATTGGTGCTTCGCCCTGCCAAATTGCGCGACGATCTAATTTGAACAGCGACGCTTCGGGTGTCCCCCGCTGGTTTTGCGCGTTTCGCGAGCGGATGGATCTGTTTCCGTCGGTATTTTATTCGCCTCGCACAATCGAGCGAAACAGTTTCGTCCAATTAACGAGTTACAGAGACACCAATTTGCAAATTGATTTCGCCGAGAAGCGCGACGCATTATTTGCCAAGTTTCGCGAGACAACGCCGTTTAAACGCGCCCTCCCCCGCCGTGAAAATGGTTCAGTGGCATGGTTTAACAAGGACGTTAAAATTACGCGGTTAGCATTGAATAAATTGGCGGGTTTATTGCCCGACGCGGAGTTAAATTATATCACGCGCCAGCGCGCGACCTTTCTCCTTTACGCGATAATTCAAAAGTCCGAGTGTCGATGCCGTGAAACGTGCTCGACGAAGTATTTTAATGGCTCCATCAAACGACGCTTTCGGAATCCGATATCGCCGCGATTAGAAATCGAAACGAACCTATCGATCCGATCTGGACCACCTTTACAGGGCGCTGACGCGTCATCGGGGCGTCGAAAATAAAAGACAAAAAAGAAGAGAATTTTCACCGAGGTAATATTACAAAATTACCAATCGGTATTCCCAGACGGAGTTATCCAACAGGTTCAACTCGAAAAGCATCCTCGATCGATTGATACATAAATAACTCGATCGATAATTTTTTATTCGGGGAAAAAGAAAATAAAATCCAACGCGAAAGAGGTTCTAATACGTTCATCGAAGCCTGACTCGGCCCATTTAGGGTTTAACGTCTCGTGGCAACAGAGAATCTACAGGTCGGCTGTATTTTTTTGCTGGCGTCAGCAATTTTTTTCTTTTTTTTTTTCCGTTTCGCGATCGCGTGTTGAATACTTAATCATTTATCGATCAGGGGCCGGTGCTCCGAGCATTCGGTAGCCGACGCGAGAGGACCTATCGGTGGGAAAAGGCTTAATTAGCATAGAATCAATTAGTAGCGATTAGCATTCGCTCGAATTAATTAGCACTAATTAACACCTCGCGAGTCCGCAGATGTCCACGTCGCCGGCGACGGAAAGAAATCGTCCGTGGCTTCGTGTCGCTTTATCGCGGCTTCGCGTTATTATCGGCTGCGGTTGCACTCGCTTCGACGAGAAACACGATAAACGGACCTCTGCGTGTTTCCACGGTTCCAGTCTACGCGTTTATCTCCTACCCGGTACGAAACAGGAAAACATTTTTAACGCCATTTCTGTCAAACGCGTCAAAAACGGCCCTTGGAAATTGTCACGACGTAGGTTTAGGTTTTTGAAACGGTCACGAACGTTCCTCCGAGTCACTTTCCAAAAAATTGGGTCCGATCTAACGTCAGAATATCGGTGACAGAGAATTTGTCACGTCCGCCAGCCGTTCCAGCCACAAAAATTGCAAGGAATTAAGGGAGAAGAGGCGGCGAACAAGAAGTTCCATCGCGCGACAGGGCTAACGGTTAATCATCCCAATCTGTCGTAGAATTAATACGTGCTCTCCCAGTCCCCTTATCAGCCCGGAAGCTATTAACCCGGTAAAACTTACTTTTCTTGAAACTGGGTTAATCATCTTTTCCGCGGGCCACCAGAATTATCCGACCTCGTGTCCTAAATCCTCGAATCCTCGCGCCGAGTGTACCGGAGTCCGTGGGCCAGAACCTGTAATTAAACGTTAATTGGCCGACTGAATGGATTTTCCGATTCTATCGATCGGGCCAAACTGTTTCGCCTATGGTTTGTACCAACGGTGCAAAACTACCGCGCGAAATTAACCAACGATAATCGTTTTATGCTCCTCTCCCAGACTTTTCAGAATTAATCACCAGCAAATTCCATTCAGACATTTTTCTCCGACATAATCTTAGCTTATTAACCTCGGTTACTTAACGTTATTTCTATCATAATCTTGAGCATAATTATTTCGACCAAAAAGGTATTTGATCATCCCAGTGATTAAACTTGGAAAATAATTACTTTTGCAAGGAATCATCCTCTACCACGATAAACGGACCACCCTGTACACGATTCTATGCCTTTCGACGTGAAAAGAAGACCAGAGTATAAGTTGAACTAGGTTTGCCGACACCTACGTTCGCTGTAAATAATTTAATGTCGTCACCGATAACCCTAGGTCACGCCACCACTGCAAATGTGCAAATTACACACGGAGCTTACGCTTCCGCGTTTCAAACCGCAGACGCAGCAGGATTGGTCGACCTGTTTCAATCTCGTGCCCGAATCGAATGTTTGTTTAAAACGCGTACGTTCCAAGGCTGAAACTGGCAAAAAAACGACCTTATAATTATATAGGATGCTCCGTAACATGTGGGAACCGCTTCAACGATCAATTCTCCGCACGAAAGCTAGCTTTCTATTAAATCCCTCGATGGATTCTAATTTACAAATAAAACGTAAAGTTACTTTACGAGTCGAAAATTTCTACCCGTTATTCGCGAATAAACTTTGCTACGGGTCCTTGAAAATAGTAACGATTCAATTATACTTGATTCCCGTGCGAGCGAATTAACGTAGTCGTCGTGATGCAAATATTTGCAGACCGGTCCTTGGCGAGCGGGAAATCGCTGCGAGCCGAACTAATTCACTTTCCGAGGATGCGAGAGAATCGAGTCAAAAGTCGAAAACTGGGTTAATCGCAGGGTCCGCGAAAGGAACTCTCGGTCAAAGGTCGAGCTTAAAATTTCGGTTTCCCGGATTTCCGCCGCCGCGACCGTCGCTTTTCACGGTCGGAAAGTTCGAAGTCGAGTCGGAACGACGTCACGGACGTCGCGCGTCGATACGGTGGTTCGATGCCGCCCCGAAACGCATGGCGTCGTCGACCTTCGAACTGGGCCCGCTATCGTTCGAATTATTTAACCCTTTGCACGAAGCGAGGGCTAAATTATTCACGAATCACTGATCGAAGTTTTAAACACTCGACTGTTTACGTAAACTATGTTACTGTTTCATTTTATTTTGCCTGGTAAAGAACGACGTTGTGCGCGATTAATAAACAGCGGAGGCTCCGGCATCGTGAGAAAAATGTAATAAATTTTAATCGCGGAGAAATTTGATCGCAATTAAATTTCGCGTCGGTTGCTAACGGTGACCCACGCGACGCGAAAGGAAAATTACGCGAAATCGACGCGACGGAGGCCGCGATAACAACTTCGGAAACGCGAGTTGCGTTAAATTTTCAGGCCGCGTCGTCGACGTGAGAAATGTTCCTCGTTAAAGAATTTTTATAACAATTTACGTCGCCTTGTTATCTGTGCCAACCGCCGCGGCCGCCTCGAGAAATTCTCCCGGTTAATTAATTCGCGCAGTTTAGCTTTCTTCGCGGACGCGAGAATCTTGATGAGGCCAAATATATTATCGGACAGAGTTCCAAACGAGACTACAAAAGTCTCCCAACAGTAATATCTCGTCAGTTTCATGACGGCGTTGAATTTTTTTAGAATTTATTAGCTGCGAAAAACTAAACGTTTCTTTAACTCTATATTAATTTCAACTTTCGACTTTCGAAACATGGAGAAATCGAAGCTAGATTCTATATTGCAGATTAGATTTTTAAGCAATTTTTGTTCGATTTAAATGACTCCAACTTAAACTCTTCATGCGTGGTTTCTTAACGCAAAGCATAAAAATAAATAAAGTAGAATTGGCATATTTGCAAGGTTCTCCTCGAATTTTCTACAGAAGATTTAACGATCCATATTTATTGGCAATAAGGTTTAAACATTCTGTTTGTAGTTAGCATTCCTTTGTAAACGAAAACTGCAATAATAATGAATTATAATCTTTGCGATGCAAACTCTCGATCTAATCTCGAATGGGACAAGCGAAATATTCATCTCGAAGAGCAAACAATTTCTGGAAAATTTCGTCGTTATATTGCCGCGCGCGTCCATAAAATTCCAATTCGCAGGGAAATAAATTTCATCGTGCGCGTCCGGTGCAAAATATGCGCAAAAACAAAAACAAAAAAGTCCACAGCAGGCTGTAACAACATCGTCGCCAAAAATTGCGCTCGTCGCGTCCCCTCCCATCGAGCGTAATAATAATTTACAGCGTCGTTCGGGCCCGATTCCGCGACGAATAAAGCAACGATACGTCGATCCGCTAACAACGATCGCACGCGCCGGATAAAACGTACGCGGTGTAAAATTTTCAATTTGTCGGTGGCTGGAAATTTTACGACGCGACCGATGGACAATTTCTACAAACAATAAAAAGAAAAAGCTAACAGAATTGGTAAGCGAGGACTGGGGCGTTCGAGGAGAAAAATTCAATGTCGGAGCATTTTCGAAAACCCGTCACACTCGACATTATTTGCACGATTGTTTGTTTCCTCTTTTAATTCGTTTTTTTTTCTTTCTTTTCGTGTCACTGCGAGCACAAGCAGACAAGCAATTCAACGTTCGAGCCCCACGCGACAAAATGAATTTGCACGTGCAAATTGGCAACGTTCCTACGCACGGAGGGAAGAAAGGGGGCTCTTTCGTTTTCGGGTTACGCGTAACGAACGCACCGTTGGAATTTTCACGACGACTCGGTCAAATTTCATGAAAACGCTCCTGTAACCCCCCTCGTATCGTCTCCCATCGATCCCGCGGAATACATGTTTCGGTCTTGTAATAAAGTGCAGTAAAAATTCGTAAAATTCACCGGAGGGAATCGATTCGATCCCATTACAGCGAATTCCGCCGTCTGCGGGATAGAATTACGCTTTCCCTTTGTGAAACAAACGCGATGACAGAGTGCGGAGCGTGTTACAGTGCCGTTGAAATCAATTGGCCACTTGCCCCTCCCGTTTCACCACCCCCAATAGTCTATCTCTCAGCGCAAACTGGCTGGTTAGTCAACTATAAATATTTAAATATTTTTCTTAGTGAATTTGTAATACATTCGTACTGTAAATGTTTAATATTTAAAGAATGGAAGGATAAAATCTGGGATTTAATCCATAATCAGAGAAACGAATAAAAGAAGTTCGGATAAATGAAGTCCTACCGTACTTTGAAACAAAGGGATGAATTTGATTTTAAAAAAGAAGTACGAATTTGGAGTACAAAGGCTGTATTGGTTCGGATAATCAGCGTTCTACGGTAGACCCGAATTAATACAGCGGGTAGACTTTGAACACTCGTCGAAGAGCGAGCGTAGAAGAGTCCTTTTGTTTCGAGTCCAGAATCCTCCGCGTCCAATTCTCTTTTTCTCCCCGCAAGGTTCATCCAGCCACTCTGTTCCAACGACCGAACTAGCTCCGAGATGGAATTCCTCGACGAAGCAACGTAATTTCAGTAATTACGATGACGTCACGGACGGGTTGAGCGAACGACAAGCTCGAGACCTCGGATAAGCTCCTCTTTGTGCGAAACGTGCAACACATTCCCGGAGATACGCACGGAGATGACCTCGAGAGAAAGTCTCAAAGTCCTACGAATCGCGCAAGAATGACGATTCGCTCGCGGTTAGGCCTTCGACGGAATACAAATGCTCTCTAATTAATCCATCTCGCTCTTTCTCGCTCTCCTTCTCTCTCTGTCGATCGCGAGCGTCCAGTGTTCACGTATTCCAAAGCGGTTCTCGCCTGTGCATTTTATCGGGGCGAATTTTATCGTTTCAATGCCATCAATCGTCTCGACGGAGAGAAAAGTCGCGCACAATCGTCGGCCTTCGTCGTTTACGATTCCGACTAATCGCGGACCGCTTGTTTTCAATTAACGCTCCGCTGAAACGGAGCCCCTATCGGTGATTTCATAACCAATCGAGCCGAGCCATTGAATCGCCGTTAGAATTTTCACCAAGAACGCCGTGCTCGCGTTTTCGAGTTTCCTCCAGTCATTATTCCCGATTTCAATGATCCCCAGGGACAATGAAAATTAAACGAGATTTTCAGATCCTGAGAGGATTTCAAACACGTTCCTCCCGCTGGAAGTACGAATTCGTAGATCTCTGTTGCCCCTGAACGATACAAAAGGATTTTGTAGAAACACTGTCACGTTTTTGTAGCGAAAATAATCGAATTTCTAAGAACACCGAACAGCGACAGTGCTTTTTCTGCGACTTTCAATAGTGAAATATTTAAGAGCATCCATGGGGGTATAAAAGCAGTGGAAGAACTCTCGGTGAACTAGTGCAAAACGACGGGACGAAGAAGAGGGAATCAATAATAAACTGGCGTAGTGCCACAGACTGTAATGCGGATGTATCTTTGCTGGTCGCGACGCGATTCTGAAACGTTCGATCGAAGAATCGTACATCCTACTTTCGACGCTCCGAATTCGCCCGAAGGATTCATTCTAGAGTTCTTACAATTTCTCTGTACCGAGCACATTTATTTTTATACAGAGAATAACAGGTGTCAGGTGAAATTAAAAAAAAGAAGCACGTATTGTGGAAACGTAAAAGTCTTTGAAATTCTATTCGCGTTCGAGGAAACACCCTGTATATTCAACGGGTTTGTAGGAAGGTGTTTCGTAGCGTGTACCGATGTGCTCCATTTTGCGCATTAAACATTCTTTGCCGAGCTTTCTATCTTTGACTAGCGCGAGCGCGACAGTGCTCAAAAGTAACAAAGCTTTTCAAGAACGCTGTTTACCGCGCGCACGCGAAGTACCAAACGTCAGAGAATGCGTGACGACTTTTTAACTCCGTGC